ACTCAGCCATAAAAAGGAACGACATTGGCTCATTTGTTGAGACGTGGATGGATCTAGAGACTGTCATACAGAGTGAAGTAAGTCAGAAAGAGAAAAACAAATATCGTATATTAACGCATGTATGTGGAACCTAGAAAAATAGTACAGATAAACCTCTTTGCAGGGTAGAAGTTGAAACACAGATGTAGAGAAGAAACGTATGGACACCAAGGGGGGAAAGCCGCGGGGGGGGGGGGGGATGGTGGTGTGATGAATTGGGCGATTGGGATTGACATGTATACACTGATGTGTATAAAATCGATGACTAATAAGAACATACTGTATAAAAAAGTAAATAAAAAAACAAGAATAACTAAACGGATGAGAATAAAACAAGAATAAATTAATGAATTCTTTTAATATTAATTTAAAATATATATATTAAAAGTTTAATAATAAGATATTAAATGGAATTGGAATTACTTGGCACAGAATAAAGGTAACTTAAAAAAGAAAAACTAGAACAGTGGTCACCAAGAACAAAACAAGATCTAATTTTTATTGCAAGAATACAGTTACACTTAAGGGAAAACTTTTTACCAACATGAGCTCCTTGAGAGCTGTGTCCGTATCTTACGTATCTTTTAATATCCTGTGCCAGTCATACTGAATGACACAGAACAGAAATGCAATAAATGTTTAGTGAATGAATGAATAAAAGAGTTTATTAAACATTCTCACGAGCTTAAACTCCTCGTAGGCTTTAATAAGTAGAATTAACCACCCACTTAACTTAGATAATATACTTGTCTAAAGGATTAAAGTGATAATTACAAAAATAATTTTTTTAAGTAAAAGCATCCAATCCTACCAAAAAAAAGGGAACGTCATCTAGCACAAATATCAATGTTCAAATCCCTTCTCTGGCTTCCCCCACCAAGCTTTTCTTGAAAACTTCCAGTGAAAGAGAACTCAACCTGGGTATCACAGTCTCTAAATTTTGAAGATGCTGATACAAAGTTCCTCCTTTAATGAAACTCAAGTCTATCTCCCAGGAGCTGCATCCATTTGGCCATAAGGGAAGAATCTGGTTCACAGGACAGAACTCCAAACGTGGGAACACAGCTGTCAGTGGCTTCCATTCCCCGGACCTGTCTGTGTAGATTAAGGTACTGAACCCCTGTACACTCTAAACGCTCTCTGAAGTACAATTCCAACTTTTCCACCTCTTTCTTAAGGTGTCCACAATATCCCAGATATGGCCTGACCTATCCTAATTAGAACTGCTCAGTTTAATCTAGGTTATCATCTCAAATGTGCTATATGCTATTAACACATCCATGGATCACACCATTTTCCTTTTGATTACTGTGTTGAGATTTCAGCTAATGCCCCTAAGTCTTGTTCACTCCTGCTCAGCCCTGTTCCCACATCTGGTTGATTATTAGGCCTCGCATACAGCACCTCACATTATTCCAGGCATAATTCATCTTGCTAGAGTCTGTCTGCTGATTTAATCCATCAGGTTATCTAATTCTGATGAACTTATGGTTTACATTTTCACCAATTAATTATGTTAAACAGGATACCCATTAAGAACCTCCATTCAGACTGAGAAAGTCCATTATCTCAGTTTCATTACATTATATATTATAACTCGTGGGAAGAAAGGAGGAGTTTAGTGAGTGGCCAAGTCTCTTAAGCCAAGAAACAACTTCTATGAGATCTGTTATAAGGAAAAAAAAACTAGCATATGCCTGTCTCCTTTCTGCTGGATGCCTGGTTGATTTTGCGTTTTTGACTATGATACTTGTGAACTTATAACCAATGCAGCTGATCATTTTGTGGGTTATCATAGAAGTGGTGAGTCATCAAGCACAATTTTAAAAAGCACTCTTTCTTAAAAAGGCTATGTAATTTTCTACTTGCAGCATTAAAATAGTCATTTCATTTATAGCTGCTGCTAAGCACCACTTTAGAATTAAGATTACATCAAATTGGAGGCAGCTGAACTTTATCATATTAATTTTCGCCCTTAAAATAGCTAATGGAAAATTATGTCACACTAATAAATTTTCTGATAAATTTGATTTCTTAGGATTTGTCATTAATGTGTGGCATTTCCCTAGATTAATACTGTTTTCTTCCAACCTTGTGAATTAAGGTTGCTATGATACTAGATGCCTAACTAGTGGAAGATGCTTGCAGTAGTCTTATATAAATTATACGTAAATATGTTTACGCAAATAATACACACATTTATGTTATATATTCCATCTTATATGTTTATATCTCATATATACATATATTTCTGATTTACAGTATATTTCATAACTACTATATAGGTAAATGTACTTTTAATCCCATAACACAGGCAGCCCTGAAGCTCCTGAAACAGGACCTTGTGGCCACTGTAGATAAAAACATAAGCTCTCATAAATCTCCTCAGGTCGGACGCCTGAGTAGCCTATATCACTTCTGTGATAAGGGATTATTTAGTCTCTGCTTGAGACAGCTCTGGTGAGAAGGGTCACAGCACTTCATGGCACAGCCCATCCACTTCCAGAAGATTTCTTTGTGATCTTTGCCTGTAAAAGTTTTAATGAGAGTTATCTAACAAAATGGCTTCCTAAAAATCTCCACATCTGTCTCTCTCTCTTTTTTGTAAGGCGTTTCTTCCTATCAGCCATTTTCTACAAGGAGTATTAACCTAGCTAACTTCACCTCATCACTCTAGTTTGGATGTAAGCATCTGAGAATGTTTGCAAATTGATTTTAAGATAATATTTTGTTCCAGTGTCAAAAGTTGAGGATACTTTTCAATAGAAGTTGGAACACAGTTAAATTTTAGTATTTGCCTAATACTAATACTCTAATTCAGGTTGGCGCAAATCTGATACTATTTGGACACAGTAAAAGGTTAGTTCTATAATTATCACAGACACTATCAAATAGTTCTACTTTCTTGCCTGTCTTATTAGGCAATTGAGAATTGAAATTTTAACAATAATAAAATAGATTTATGTAAATCTAAAGAAATGTTATTACAATTACATAAATCTTTGAAACAGATACCTTCTTTGGAATCCAGGTTTTTCCTTTCTAACAAGTTCAGTGACTATAACACTGGGCAGTGATGTTCCTTGAGAGCACACATAAGGGTGCATATTCTAATGTAAGTGATAACCTATTCTGGAAAAAAAGAGATAGATTCCAAAATGTACAGTATGGATTATTTTGTATGGTAAGTTCTATGTGCACATATTTGTGTACTATAGATGTGTTTATGCCATAAAAATTTGAGAAAAGCCGTGCCCTTCCAAAGCAATTAGGATGTAAATACCTGAAAATCTTACCTTCCCAAGTATAAAAACAAGAAAAGATTGTTTCTTTTCTTTATCGCATAATTGTTGCTTATTATTATTATTATTGCATAAATGTTGTCAAATATCAAGTGTTGTAATTTCTTGCTTTATAAAGTAGTCCGTGTGATCAGCAAGTGGCTGGGTTACCAGGTGTTGGCAGGAAAAAAAGGGGGCATATTAGTCATGGTCAGCCATGCAGAACCCTGGCATATATTTTTAGCTTCATGTGCAGAGCTGAGATTAGCTTACTGCCAAGCTGGGTACATAGTGGACATTTAAGTTTGTGATAATGAAGTACTTAAAGATATTCTGCAAAGGATAACAATACTTGGTATTGTTCAAGAGTAATTTATTTTCAGACTATTTTAAAATTATCTAGGTATCCTCTACTTAAAAGTAAAAAGATTCTGAAAAAAGAAGTAACTTGTTTAATAAGAAAAAGAGGGATAGAAATAGTAAAAAGCGGTGGTAAGGGGTATAGTTAAGAACCCAGACTCTGGAGCCAATCTATCCATGTTCATGTGCTGGCTCTGCCATGTATTAGCTGTGCAACCTTGGGCAAGTTACCTAACCTCTCTGTGCTTCAGTTTCTACATCTCCAAAATGAGGATATCTCATGCAGTTGTGAGGATTAAATGATATAAATATGTGTGAAATGCATAGAACACTACCTGACACATAGTAAGCATTTCTTTGTATTTATTATTACTAACCAAAAATGTAGCATGAAAAACATAAACTATGTAAAAGGAAACATCCCCTTAGAAAGGAAATCAATAAATTGAACAAAAATCCATTTTACAAGTGTTTACCGAATCCTCCCTGTGTTCCAGGGACTGTTCTAAGCACAGAGGTGGAGCAGGGAACAAGACAGATAAGGTCCCTGCTCTCTTAGGGATTAATAAAGTAACCAGAAAAAAAAAAAAAAATCAGCTCGTGCTACGAAGAAAACAAAGCAATAATAGGAGTGAGAAAGAGGCGAAATATTCTGCTTTGAAATTCTGTTTTAAGAAACACAATAGATTAAATGCATTAAGGATTCCTTCTGTGTTGATGTACTATAAAAAGAAAATTATGTGGATTCAAAATGAGTTTACATGATGACAGTTCTTAAGTTCATCTGCAACTTGCAATCACTAAAATGGCCATTTCCGCCTGGTGGAGGCTCTTTGTTGGTAGCCTGAGATATGCTACCAAGTGAAAAACACCATCCACGGAAAAGAAATTCAGGAACCACTTGTCTAATTGATGGAGCACAGATCTGTGGATCCTGAATTTAACCGTTAATTTTTTATGCAACTTTTAATAAGCTACTGGAATGTTCTCCCCTTAAAGATCATAGTTAAATTAAAGACTAGTTTAATATTTGCTATAAGATTGTAATCTAAGTAAACTGTCTAAATAAGATTCGAATTTGCTCTATTAGTAGTGGTGAATGGAACTAGGAAAAACAGCATCATGTAACTGACATACTGGCAGGTCCTTGTCATTATCTGATTCCACCGGCGACAGCTGACAGCACAGGGATCAGTCGCTTCCAACTTTTCACTCCGTATTTAATATCTAAGACAAACAACTCTTTTTAAAATGCTAAACAATTTGTACTAGGTATATGTTTGGTCTACACAATTATATAATAATTCAGGAGAACCGCACCTCACTCTGTAGCTGTGTAACTTCTCTTGCAAAGACACTGTCAATTGTGGCTGGCATCTGCTTATAAAGAGAATTGGAAAGGTCCGCCTTAATGGTGCCTTTGTATTTTGCCTGGGCGGGGAGAAAGAAAAGGGAAAAAATATTTCTTAGCTTTTTTTATTGTGAATATTGAAAAAGAATAAAAAAGTACTTTCTTCAGAAACAGAATCAGTTAAAAAATATAAAGTCCACTTTAATCGTAGATACTGAACCTGATGAACATATTTGAAGAAAGAAAAAGAAATCCAGTTTATCATGGTAAAACCTTTAAATGAAACATGCAAGAAAATAACGACAGGGAGAGGGGGGTTGAGCGATGGGGGAAATGGGTGAAAGGAGTTAAGAGGTACAAAGTTCCAGTCATAAAATAAATACATGGGGACATAAGGTCCAGCATGGTGACTATAGTTAATAACAATGTACTGCACATTTGAAAGTTGCTAGGAGAGTGGATCTTAAAAGTTCTCATCACAAGGGAAAAGAAAGAAGTAAGATGTGTGACTCTGTGTGGTGACAGGTGGTAACCAGACAATCGTGGTTATCCTTTCACAAGGCATACAAGTATGGAATCATGTACACTGTGCACCTGAAACTAATAAAATGTTAAATGTCAATTATACCCCAAATTAAAAACCTTAAATCAGTTTGGTAAAAAGTAATAATGACTATTTTTCTGTTTAAACCCATGCACATTTCTCAAAGTAAATCTATTTTTGTGTATTGACAATTTCATGTTTGATCAGCAAAGAAACATGAGAACAATGAGACATTTAAATTGTTCCAGAAAACACAAGTCATTAGAATTTACAGTCTAGAACCTGAATGCAAAGGACAACATTCCTTTATTCAAGTCCTCTTAACTCCTTCCACCACAATGGCGGGGTGCAGGGGGTGCTTTTTTGCTGTTTGTGCACCTTCCCACGTGCAATCTGCACTGTCTCTAAGTGATCTCAGTCGTTACTCATAAAGAGAAACACTCATTCACTATTTACTCTTGGGAACATTAAGTTCAAAGGAACATAACAGATTGCCCTTTTCCTTTTCTCTGTGCAGGAGAACTAATAGCTGACACAAATAAACAAAACCGTGGTTTTCCCCACTCTGTCCACAGGTCCCTGCTGTTACTCCCACTTGGAGCTAGATTTGAGTGCTGATTTATTGAGCATATAGCCTGCATAAGCCTTGCGTTCCCATAACTCTTTGGATTTGGGTACTTAAAATTTACCAATTTTCTTCAAAATGTTTTCACGTTGACAGAAATAATCTCGAGGATATCATATTGATCTTTTTCCAACATAACTTACGAAACACTAGAGGTCAGTCATTTACAACACTATCTAATCATCTCCCTTTCAAGTTTATCTCTTTGAAATGATATATTCACAGAAACCAGCAGTGCCTCATCACAGAAATTACCGTTAACACTGTGCTTTATAAGACAACATAAGTTGCAGTTCTAAATGCTCTCAGAAAAAGACTCTATGATATTTCAGCTGGAAAATGAATGTAGTGTATTTCTCACTCTATGGTTTCATAACAGGTATCTCTGTTGAACTGATCCTACTAAAAAATAGTTCAAACTGATTTAAAGTTACTTACCAAAGATACCACATTTTATGGAATCTGCTGGTTTCACTTATTTTCAAAATTATATTGAATCATTTATATCTAATAAGTCTGTTAAGAAATAAAATAATGGAACTTGCCAATACTTTCTATTGAATAAAAATATCCCTTTTTAAGAGTAATTTTATATAAATAAGAAAGGGTTAGAGTCAAAATAGGCATATAATAAAATACATCAACCATAAATAATAAAACTTATCAGTTTACATGAGTTAATTGACATAGTGCACAGAATTATGTAATATACAGATATCACCAACATTCAGTGGTGTTATCAAAAATATTATTGTCTAACTTTCATGCACAGGCTTTTACTTACATAAATAGAAAAAGAAAATGAAAGCCATTTTGCACGTTTTGATACCTTACCTCAGAAATAAAAGCGCCAATACGTTTTACATGTTTTAGCATAGGCGTGTCAGTCACAAATGTACACTTGTCTTTAGACTTTTTATACTCTTCTTTATAATGGATCTAAAAGAATATTTTATATAAGGAGAGAAAGAAAAACAATTTTAATGCTCCTTTTTTGAACAGAAGAATTAACTTGAGAAAATCTGTTTTCTGAAGTAAATACTCCAATGTGGAAGGATGCTCAAAACAGGCCAAATCAAATAAACTGATATCCAGCCCAGAACAGCAAAGGTGATGAGGCAAAGGCGGGAAAAGGCTGCTCTTTACATAAGCCAGGGTCTAGTTATCATCAAGGATCATGTGCAATGGCTAATGAGAACCTACCGTATAGCACAGGGAACTCTACTCAATGCTGTGGTGACCTAAATGGGAAGGAAATCCAAGAAAGAGGGGATGTATGTATATGTACAACTGAGACACTTTGCTGTACAGCAGAAACTAACACAACATTGTAAAGCAGCTAGACTCCAATAAAAATTAATAAAAAAATAAAGCTAAAAAAAAACAACCAGGGGCTTCCCCGGTGGCGCAGTGGTTGGGAGTCCACCTGCCGATGCAGGGGACACGGGTTCGTGCCCCGGTCCGGGAAGATCCCACATGCCACGGAGCGGCTGGGCCCGTGAGCCATGGCCGCTGAGCCTGCGCGTCCAGAGCCTGTGCTCCGCAACGGGAGAGGCCACAGCAGTGAGAGGCCCGCGTACCGCAAAAAACAAACAAAAAACAAAAAAACCCAACCAAACAAACCAACCAAAACAAGGATCATGTGTATTGGACCCACAGTAACTGTGGGTCCTGTTTGCCCAGCTTGTTCAGCATGATTATTAAACGTTCTCCATTTCACTCATACAACTGTCCTAGTTTATTGTTACTTTTAAGCCACAGACCCTAACAGGTAAGCCTACGGTCAAACAGAAACATAGCTGCCTACCTCTAGGTTTAAAACAAGGCGTCACCAGGACAGATGTAACCAATTGAGAAGAGGCAGAAATTAAACAAATGGAGAATACTTCTAGCATCATTAGCTAGACATGCTGGCTTAGAGGAAGAGGCCTAAATTGTGGCCACAATGGGCTTCCTGTTACTAATTACTTATGCTCAAATCAAACTTACCCAATTTATGAGCACCCACAGGCCTCCCCAACCTCTTCCCCACCCCCAAGCATAGAACCCACCCAGAAAGCCTGCCACCTGGTGGAGATCACTGCAGAATGCCCCCTGTGGCAGGCAGAGGAGCAGGACAAAGCCCAGAGAGGCTTAGCTGGGCAACGCTCATTTCTTCTCTCCAACACGCTAGTGAAAGGAGTCACTCCTTTCCCCCTGGGGAGAGGCCAGAATTAATCTGGGGGAAGATCCCACACGGACACATGAACCAAAAAGAGGGGCCTAAGATAATCCCACTGTCACACTAACAGCCATCCAATCTAAAAACTGACCAGGCAAAACTTACGACTAGTTGAGAGGATGAAGGTAAGTCGCTAAAAGTTGTATCACCCTGTAATAAAGTCATGTTTATCTACCCAAGACTATAAATACTTAGGCCAAAAAAAATGTCTTACTTCAGATGATAAATTACATGGTCTCCCGGGACTTCCCTGGTGGTCCAGTGGTTAAGAACCTGCCTTCCAATGCAGGGGACGTGGGTTCGATCACTGGTAGGGAAACTAAGATCTCACATGCCTCGGGACAACTAAGCCCACAGGCTGCAACTACTGAGCCCGCAACGAAGAGTCCGTGCGCTGCAGTGAAGGCCCAGCGCAGCCAAAAAAATAAATAAATAAAAATAAATAAAATAAAAATTAAATTAAAAAATAAAATTTTTTAAAAAAAATTACATGGTCTCCCTAATTACAGCCTAAAAGTGAAGTTTAATTGTATACACTACCTGGTTCTTAAAGATCATGACTAATACTGATGTTACACTTTAACATGACATAGAGATTTTACCATATTCAAACCTGATTTGAGGGGCATTATTTGACCTGAGGTATAACCAGACACGAACATACTAAGTAACATTCTTTTAAAATGCAGTATCTCACGGCTATGACTCAGATATTAAGACGCTGACCACATTAAACATTTGCTTTATTCATGAAATCAACATTAGAACATATTTATCTTATCTGAGCACTAAATTGCTTTTTTTTTCTTCTCAGAGATTAGCCATAATTTTAGGTCTCTGCAAATCACCCTCCTCAGTCACTAGTAATTAAACCGTTAATGGCAGTATGATAAATAGTAGGCTATTTTGATCATAAGGAGAAAAAAAAAAGGTATCTCCGTTATATAATTAAGTGTGAGAGAACATAAGCTATCATTAGGCTTAAGTCTGGCTCATTATTTTTATCTTTCGCCACCATCTCTTCCTTCTCCCATGCACATGCTTCACCGCAGCGCAGAGGTATGTGCTATGGCTACAGGCCCCCTGATAAGCTCTGACCTGAGCAGAATGTTCAGGACAGGCGCTCGGGATAAGGGTGAAGTATTTACTTCCTTTACTATGCAGGCAAATAGTTCAGTCTTAAGTGTGCTCTCCATTCCTTTCTCTGGTTTTTATTTAAAAGATACACACACACACGTATTATATGCTTATTGTCACTCGCATTTCTAATGAATTTTACAATATGAGTGACAACAAGCAAATGATCTTAAATTTTTATATAAAGAATACTACATATTAGTAGCCTTCCTATACCAGGAGAATAGGAAAAAATGGATGAAAGGGTACTGCATCGATGACTGATACTAAATCTTAGGTAAAATAAAAATCACTGAGTAGACAGTCAATTCCTAATACAACCATGGTCCCACCTATTGGATAGATTGCATATCCAATCCCTTTCTTTGCTAACGATAGAACTCAAATGTATTTATGAAAGTAGACATGCCCCTACCCCAGCCCCAGAGGACAAACTGCTCTGAACTAGGTATGGTTTTCTCATTCCCCCTGGCCAGTGATTGGCCAGGGACGACAAGTGCCTAGCTCTGGCCATGAGACATTCTTGGAAGACTTCCCAGCATCATTACTGGTGTAGCTGGTATAAAGGGAGAGACTTGCTGACGTGGCCCTTTGACCCCTGGCTCTTCCGCCTTTTGTCTTCCCCAACCACAGGGAAACAGCCACAATGATGCCATCATAAGACAATAAGCCATCATACCAATGATGGCAGAGCAGAAGGAAAGGCACCTGAGAGACTGATAACATCCACTGCACCAAGACTGAAGCCCCTACCTCCAGGATTCATATGTGAAAAAAATAGACATTTGTTAAGCCTCTGTGCTAGGATCTTCCTGTTACATGCAGCCATCTGCACTCACAACCAACACACAATCCAAAGTTGATGACTTAATTTAAGATCAATAAGATGCCCTAAATATTTACTTTCTGCTTTAAACTCACCCATTAATCCCACCATGTCTCAACTACAGTTAGAGTTAAATTAGTTGAGTGAGCTTCCTCCTCCTAGCCTAGTTTCTTTTACTTACTATGAGATCAGCTAATGGCTGACAGTAGATGACAGATGTAGAAATGTTAGAGGACATTTCCTTTTAGAAGCATTCTTAACCAAAAGGAGCTAGGAAGGCTTTTCACAAATGGAGCCACGCAGGCTAAATGCAGTGAACCCCAGAAGACAGAACTGTGGCTCCTGCCCTGTGTGTTAACTGGGGCGCTCGGAGGCAAGGCTGCTCTCTCAGGTTTCCTAACACCGTCGGAGCTTTCTCTGGAGGGGTAATCACGGCATTCCATGTTTTCAGCACTGGAAGGGTTTACCCACAACAAACAATGTTCACTTGCCTGGAAAATGTTCTTTCTGCTGCCACGCAAACGAACACCCTAAAAAAGGTCTGAATCAAAACACTGAATCAGAGACTCCATGCAGATGTGAACTGATTTTCTCTGCAGAGACTCTTTATCCTAATTTACAAGAAACATATAAAGGGTCCCTTTTAACCCGCTGTTTTTTATGACCACCCTACAAAAGGCTCCCAGATCCGTGATTCTGACTGTTTAATGTAGTCAGTAGGTTTGATGTATTCAAAGAACTGATTAGATAGCTGAGTAACAGGACAAAATAACAGAGAAAGGATATCTGGGGAAATAAAAAGCATTACACGGTTAACAGAAAAATAAAAAAGGCTGCCTCGGAGGACCAGGGGTCTTTCAAGACTGGGAAGTGAGTTATGCAGAGGGAACCCCACAACATGGGCAGAGCATGTGCAAAGCGGAAACTAGGTGAGGCCCAAAAAATTTGTTTTGAAAAATTCCTCCAAAATGAAGCCGCCTGATCTGAAACACAGACATTTCTTTCTGTGGAGAATTCTAAACAGTGCAGCCCTCCCAGGACTTACCGCCAGGCCATTCTTATTTAACATTTTAATAAATTATCTGGCAGGGGCATGATACAGCGGAGTCTGCAGGTCTGCTGATGACCCCACGCTCTCATGGAGAGGGAAATGGTAAACTGAAAGAGATGAACTGCGGAAGCTCTCAAAGGGCCCTGCGAGAGGGCGGAAAACTACAGATTACATCACTAGCAAGGGACAAATCATTCAGACTATTAAAAGAGGATGGGCCCTACGTGATCAGCTACAAGTCAAAAACTAGGACTGAAAATGGCCGAGGATGATGCCCTTGCTGAGGCTGATCTGACAGCTTCCTGCAGCCCTAAGTCCAAGAAACACTAAATATCATCACACAGGGGGCAGAAACATCATCCTTCCGCACTCATAATCACAGCCACCCACATCTGGACTTCTGTGCACAGTTCTGGTTATTATATCCCGATAAAGACACATGAAAGCTAAAAGAGGTCCAAAGAGGGATGATTAGAATGATAATGAAGGGGATGTAGAGAGACTGCTCCATGAAGAGAAACCCATAAAACTACCCTCCTCGTTTGAAAAATGGAGCAGAGTAGCGGGTGGCTACCAGCCAGGCCAGACCTAATCCTGGATCTTGTCCCCACCCCTGAGTAGCCAGGTGGCCGTAGACAAGCTACTCAATGTTGGGTTTCACCACCTCTGAACTGAGGCTCATAGGACCTATGGCACTAGCTTGCTGTGGCCTGAAATACAATATTGCACGTGGAGTGCCTGGCACACAGCAGCAGAGAAAGGACATCGTGGTGGCCAAGGCTTGGGAATCAGACGGACCTTGTTCCAAGTTCCAGGTCAGTGGCTCACTAGCTGTGTGATTTGATCAAGAAAATGTGAGTCTGCTTCTTAAAGCTTCAAGATGTAGGACTCTACAAAGCAGGCCAACAAAACACCAAATTCACTCGGTGACAGGCTGGGAACAGATTGCGTTCAAACAAACAAACAGGCCCAGGTAAACACATGGATTCCCCCCGGGATATAAAGGATTATAAAACAAAACTAAAGTCCTCGAAGCTTTGTCTTTAAGATTGAGACCTGGGCAAAGACTGGTGGACTAAATTAAATGTGAGCACGAACAGATGGGCACTATCAGAGACGTAATAAAGTCTTGACTGGAACTCCAATCTAACTCAATTCGTCCTTTTTTATATTTGTTTTCAGCTCCGTATTGATGCAATTTCAAATATACATTTTAGACAACCATCTAGACATGCAGACAACACAACAGAGAAAAGAACTTCAAATCTAAGTTCATAGGCTCCGTATAAAAACATTGATGACACCAAGAGTAAATGAGCAAGTTATTACTTGATAATATTATTTAACCACACTTCTAAAAATCCAGAAATTTGATTTAGTCCAATACCTGAAGCCCTTCCAGAAAGGGTAAATTAAAATCTAATTTTCAAATGACTGTACAAACTCTTCATTTTTTTAGAAACAAAGTCATTGTTCAGACTGTTCATTGGGAGATATAAAAACTCCAAAAATTAAACCAGTATCTTAATAAGTATGGAATTCTCTTTGGAAATAAAATGTAAACATGTACACAGATATAAACGAGACCACAGCAATATGATCTAAATATTTAAGTAGTACAGGCATTCTGCCTTGCAATATAAACCTATACTAAACAGAAATTACCCCCACGCATTTGATGTCACCTGCATGAGAGTGGAATAACGTGGCTTTCGCTTTGGCAAAACGGTAAAGGCCATCGCCCCTCCCCACAAGACTGAAGTCACCGAGAGATGCTCTTATCCAAAACAACTCCAACAAAATCACCTACTAACTAAAGTTGCCACTTTAGTTTAATGGTTTATATAATTTAGCTCAGCCACAAATACACTTCAAACAAAACATAACACCACCAGAAGAGGTACTATCTCCAGAGTTATGGACCTTAAGGTTTTAAATGGTCGCATTACTATCACTAATATTTGTATAATACATAATGATAAAGCTAAGGTAAACTGCATGAAAGCTACAGTGAGAGATAACATGGCAAACTGGCTAAGAGAGAGGACTTTGTGTTCAGGTCCTACTCCCCACTGCTTAACTGTGTGACCCAAGCAGGTTACTTAACCTCTCTGAGCCTTCTCTTCTTCACCTCTAAAATGGGAAAACAAGAGAATCTATCTCACAAGTTGCAATGCCTGGCACATAGTACTCAATAGATCTTAACTGTTGCTGCTATTATTATCGTTGTTGTCATTATCATTTCATTATTATTAGAGTTTACAAAGAACTTTTACATACATTAGCTTGTGATTATTATTAAGCAATGGCACAAAGAAATAATCAATTTAAAATTTGGTTACATTGCATGTCAAGTATACAGGAAGGGGTCTGATTCCCACCATCCTCTGGCTCTTTCTGACTAACCAGAAGGGAATACAGAATCATATATAAAATGTGATTGGACAGATACAAAATTAATTTACAGAGGCAGTAGTTAATAACAGCTAGCATCTCTGGAGTACTCACAATGTTCCAGACAATTTACTAAACACTTCAGATGTGTTACGATTTCTTAATCTTACTATTAGAAATGCTGCCCTTGAGGAACTGAGCCCAGCCAGCCTGCCCAGAGTTACTGTGAAACTGACTCAGGCAGGTTGACTTTGGAGAACAGACCGGCACATGACCGTAAGGCCCAGGATTGACTTCCTCCACAAACAAATGTTTCTAAAATATTCTGATCACTTTGCTTAACAACAACAGAAACAACCAGTTCTCTGCTCCCCTCTCTAAATAAGACAGGCGCCCGTTCACGCTTCACGAGCCATCTTTCCTGTGTACCAGCGACTTTCCTACAACTGTTCCAATGAGGACCATCTAAGCTCTCATCCCGAGTGAAGAACACATTTCCCTGTGCTTCTGTAATTCTAGTTTACATATTTACTATAGATAGACAGGTAGACAGATAAATATAGAGGTATATACATATGAATTAATTCCATAATTCTAGGATTCCCTTGAAATATAACATAAACCGATCCCAGTTAACGAAAAAAGTCACAACAAAAATGCTCCTTTCACTAATATCCATCATCATCATATAGTTCAGGGCTCTCAACACACAGTTCAGTAATCCGTGAATCCTAAATTGTTAATAAGTGTTATATGCAGGTATATGCATGATTCTGGTTTGGAAAACTACTGAATTCATCAGATTCCAAAAAAGTTCCCCAAAATGCTAAAAATCATTCATTTAGATAGAGATCCTCTCAAAACAAATTACATCATTATACAAATTGTAAAAAAGCTTTGGGTTCTCAATGGAGTATGTTCTGAAATTCGATGCTTTATGATTTCATGACAGAGTGACACTGAAATTCAAGAAGGGACAAGATTCTGGCTTAACAACACGGAGACCTGTCCCCACAGAAATTCTCTGTCTGGGAGACCTTGGGAAAATCACCTAAAATATCTGGACTTATTTCCATGATCTGGAAAATCACAGTGTTTTAAATAAATGATTTCAAGGTTTTCCCCTCAGCTCTCTGATTCTATGACATAATAGTGCCACACGTGCAATGCAAAATCAGGCAAAAATCATTTAAGCCACTTACATCACTAATGAGTTCAGTGCATTTTCTGGCCAATTCCATGCTCAGGTCTTCAATAACAGGCTTAAAGAACACCTGTCCAGAAAAAAAAAAAAAAAAAAGAAAAGGGAACATTTTTCTAATCATCGACCTCGAGGAACAAATGCCGTTCTTCAGCAATGCCTTCTCACCCACCTTGTCTTCTTCATTTTCTTCTTCTCCTGTTTTTTCTTCTTGAGTTTCATCTTTTACATCCTCAAATACAGGGACCCTCATTTCTACTCTTTCTATATGTGTGTGTGTGTGTGTGTGTGTGTGTGTGTGTATATATATATTTTTTTTTTTTTTAAATTCACTAGTGCAGCACCTTTTTCTATACTACGGCACCTTGAGGTCTTGGCATTTCTGTGTTCTGGCAAAAATGACCGTGCCCAGGCCTCCTCCCTATTTAGCTCACACTTCATCCTCCTTATCACAGCGGGTGTGAGTGGATGGAGCAGCGTCACTGAGGCCGGCCAGAGCTAGCCTCATAAGCGGAAATACTATTTTAACAGGCAAAATTCAATTTTGAGAACGTTTAAAGTCAACATTCTCTAAACTGGTTAAGAAATCCAAAAGAGACAACTTATTAATATTTCATGAATTCAATTCATTCATAAAATCATTTGAAAAAGACTTAAAGATTCTGGGTGAACCACTCAGCTGTAACACTCAAGATAGCAGAGTGCAAAGCCTATTATCTCAAAGATTCCTCAAGTCCATCTAAATAAAGCTTTCACTGGAATGTCAGACATATCCCGGATTTGGTATGGTGAATCTGGATCATTCAAACTCATTTCATTAACCTAAATTAAATTTTTTATGAGACATACATGTACTTCTCCAGTCTAAAAAAAAATACTTTATATTAACTGATTAAAGGCTAGTAATTTATTATGAAAAATCCTTTGAACCACTTCAAAGAATCTATTCTGAGTTAATTATGACTGTTAATCTTATATTGCTATTGTATTATTTTAATTGTAAACATCATTAAACATGAGAAGCTGCAGTTAACATAAGCTGATATATCATTTAAGAATTCTAGAAACATTGTTTCAAAAAATAATAATTACCCTTTTTCAATTCTGCCCACTGTGTCAATTTTTACAAATCCACTAGTTACTTGTATATTCCACAATGTGTAATACATGCTTGGAAATGTTTGGAAAAATAAACTATAACAATATTTATAATGTGGTATATGTTATATAATTTAAAATATATTTCTCAAAACTAATCCTTTAATGTCAATTGAGGTAATTCTAAGACTATACAGCTCAATTTATCAAATTTGGGTATTTAAATCCTAGGATAAATTAATATTTATAAAGCCACAGCATATCAATGTGGGACATAATAAAAAAATACCCTAAGGTGAATAATGAAACTAATGATATAAAATATAACTTTAATCAAAAAATACATCATTCTAGGTAGACAATGAAACTAATGATATAAAATATAACTTTAATCAAAAAATACATCATTCTATAGTGAGAGGCCCACGCACCGCAATGAAGGGTGGCCCCCGCTTGCTGCAACTAGAGAAAGCCCTCGCACAGAAACGAAGACCCAACACAGCCAAAAATTAATTAATTAATTAATTAAAAAGCAAGTTTTTTTTAAAAAAAAAACATCATTCTAGGTAGACAAGTAATACTGTTTTCTCTTAATATCATATTTAGTTTTAAATTTTTTAAATTACCTTGGCCTTGCCTAAAAATTCCAAAAAGAAAAAAACTCTATACAGTCATCATGTATAGATTATTTCTCAAATTGTGTTCTATGAAGCTAAAGTTCCACAGAATACTCGGAGGGGAAAAGGGGGTTTCTTCAACGAACATGTTTGGGGAAACCCATATACTAATCTCTCCCCCTGCCACTTAGAGATCCACATGGCACAATGACACATTAGAAGCTCTAAGAAGACCCACAACCAAGAAAACTATTAAGTTTGCTTAACCCAGCATTTCCCAAATATGAAACCTATTCATCTCATCTAATCTAACCTATCTACCTACCTACTTACCTACCTACCTACTTACCTTTTTTTTTATTGACATCTGATACTCTAGAAAACTAACATTCTTCTGTGAAATATTACTTGGGCAAACATTGTTTTATTCTGAAACAACGTTGTATTCTATAAGAGTAGTTGATTGTTTCATGAAATGACTTTTTTTTTTTTTTTTTTTGCGGCACGCAGGCCTCTCACTGTCGTGGCCTCTCCCGTTGCGGAGCACAGGCTCCGGAGGCGCAGGCTCAGCGGCCATGGCTCACGGGCCCAGCCGCTCCGCGGCATGTGGGATCCTCCTGGACCGGGGCATGAACCCGCGTCCCCTGCATCGGCAGGCGGACTCTCAACCACTGCACCACCAGGGAAGCCCAAAATGACTTTTAATACAGGCTAACTTAATGGCATCACATATCCTGCTTACCGGCAAAATGCCAAGAAGAAATGCCCCGAGGGTGCTGAAATTGGAAACCTTAACTTTAAAATCGTAGTCCTGTCATGCCTATGTAGAGAATTCTACAAGGAAATTCTCTGTACATGATATTCGTTCCATAAAGGAGCAGAATGTGTAGACTCTGCTTGTTTCCCTCAAGTCCTCTGCCAAAAGACTCTTCTAATATTCCATAGAAGCTCTATTACATTATCTTTATTGGGAAATGGGGAAAAGAGCACTTTCTATAAGTTTTTCTCACAAACTTCTAAAAGCGCAGGGAGAAAATCTTGGCAGAGCTGCCTAAGATGCACTGCCTGGCTAGTGTATGAGGTGACAATACCTGCGATGCCCATGGTGACATCTATTCCCCACAGTGAATTACCTGCGTCAGACTTCAGTGGCTGCTATTTTTCTCATTTCCCACCATACAATAAATTCTTATTGTCTCTCCACTGTGCTGGAAGAAAGTGATCTGTTGAGATTATGCACACAAGTTTTGAAAGCAAAAACAAACACCATATACAATGTGAACAAGCATTTTCCATTTGAGATTTTAGAATCAGAATTTTAAAGCTACAGGGGTCCTTAAGGAATCAATCCTACTAAAGCCCTCTCTTTCACAGAGGACAAAATTGAGGTCAAGAGAAATTAATGATTTGTCTTATTCACAAAGTTACTCAGGGGAGCACTAGGACCAGAATTTAACTAGAGCCCTACGTTCATTCATTCGAAGAAACGTGGGTAGTTATGCCAGGCACTGTGCTGGGTATTAGAGATGCAATGGTGAGTAAAATATACTTTGTGCTAAAATGAGATAGGAATTGTTTTAAAAAACCATCACTCAAGATTTGCTGGAGGAACTCCTTAATGGAGTGTTTGACAAGCTAGATACATTATTACTTTTGATTGAATACATCTTTTTTCTTTTCATCTGTAGGTATAATATAAAATTCACGTAAAGTTTTCTCTAAAATATTTTAAGCCCTGAACTTAATTACAGCAACGCTCTCTTGTCAATAGCTCCAAAATGTAACTTGGGGAATATGAAGAAAGTGTTCATGGAGAGCTATCATGTTTCAAAATTCCCCCATTATCCTCTTTTTTTTTAAAACCATGTTAAATGTTGTACTTTAATACACATTTGCATCTTGGGGCGCCCCAAAAGGGAATATCTGTGTAGTTGCTAATCCCTTTCACTTACTAAGCATTTCATTTATGTTGTCTATTTTTTACTTTCGCACTCTACCCATGCCCTGGTTGAGAATGAGACCAAGGTGGGAATCACATTATCTACAGCTAGACCCCCTACTTCCAGCTCTGGCTCACCCACATTCTCTAGGGGAAATTATTTAATCCCTCTATGCCTCTAATTCTCCATCGTTAAGCAGAAAAACTGAATTGCCAGAAGTTAATACAAGGAAAGCACCTAAAAAATAGGAAAGCCCCTTACAAACAAAAGAGTTTTCAACTATCAAATAAAGGTACACAGTTCCAGGGAAAGTACTTGGTATGAAAGGATCTTCTCATTTGAAAGGGTAAATTCTATACCATCAATATGTTTTTAAAGGCCAGTAGGGGGACTTCCCTGCCTGCCCAGTGATTAAGACTTCGCCTTCCAATGCAGGGGGTGGGGGTTTGATCCCTGGTGGGAGAGCTAAGATCCCACATGCCTCAGGGCCAAAAAACCAAAACATAAAACGAAGCAATATTGTAACAAATTCAATAAAGGCTTTAAAAATGGTCCAAATCAGGGCTTCCCTGGTGGCGCAGTGCTTGAGAATCCGCCTGCCGATGCAGGGGACTACGGGTTCGTGCCCCAGTCCGGGAAGATCCCACATGCCGCGGAGCGGCTGGACCCGTGAGCCATGACCGCTGAGCCTGCGCGTCCGGAGCCTGTGCTCCGCAACGGGAGAGGCCACAACAGTGAGAGGCCCGAGTACCGCAAAAAAAAAAAAAAAAAAAAAAAAATAAAAAAAAACATATATATATATATATATATATATATATATATATATATAAAGCCCAGGAGGGCCTCATGCAGCATAAAAGCCCAAAGATAAGAGCTAACTTGTGTATTTGTAACAGAGAAGTCTTCCACCTTTTTATAGTTTGATGTTTATGCTTAACCAAATATATTTCTGTAACAACTGCCAGGTCCTAGGGGTCATTCAGGTCTCTGGGGACACAGCCCCTGGCCAAAGAAACAAGTCTATACCACCATCACAAGCCATGCAGTGCTCGACTGTCTTCACGTTCTTAAAGTCACATACAAAAAGAATCTCTTGGATTTTGAGAAATGTTTCATACTTATTTCACTTCTTTCTCCTTTCTTTTCTCTACAGTGATAGAAAATGTGTTCTTCCCCAACATGGTGATGAAGTGACTTGCAAATGAAAATCCATATTAAACAACTGAAATAGATTGAGATACAGCTCTGTGTGAAGGAACATTTACAGAGATAAACTGAATATTTCCACTTTGAAAATTAATTCAACATTTCCTATTAAAAAATATTCCCCCTAGGGCTTCCCTGGTGGCACAGTGGTTAAGAATCTGCCTGCCAATGCAGGGGACACGAGTTCGAGCCCTGGTCTGGGAAGATCCCACATGCCGCGGAGCAACTAAGCCCGTGAGCCACAACTACTGAGCCTGCGCGTCTGGAGCTTGTGCCCCACAACGGGAGAGGCCGTGACAGTGAGAGACCCGCGCACCTCGATGAAGAGTGGCCCCTGCTGGCCTCAACTAGAGAAAGTCCTTGCACAGAAACGGAAGACCCAACACAGCCAAAAATAAATAAATACATTTATAAATATATATATATATATATATTCCCCC